CTAGTGACGAAATGACACCTATTTTTGGATAGCCAATTATTCTATAATTCAACCCTGTAAAAGTGTTCAACTGGCCTTGGTCAGTATTTTTGTTGTATTCTTTCAAAGTTACAAACCATCTAAAAGATGAAAACTGGTACCAGCCACGTTAATACACAGAACATCTGTTCGAAAGTCTGAGGTTCAAGGGTCGAATCCTCAAGTCTAATGCCCCACGCTCGTGTTAGATTTTTAATATCTCTTACTGTCTTTTCTTTTTAGTACAAAAAGTGTTGCCCCTTAGCTAGCCTTGGAAACCTGAGTGTTGTGATAATTTTCAAACTTGGTCCTCCAATATTTCGCGGCGGGCAGTTTGTAAACTAACCGTCATAGCGTTACTCAAACTATTTGCTGGCTGTAAAGGCCATCCTTCTCGCTGTTCCACTGTTATTGTTTTACCTTGTTCTTGATCGCTAGGTTCGTGTGGAGAACGTGAAAGACGCAGCCTGCCACATCCCCGTAGTACTGGAACGAGTCAAGCAAGAGTACATTGCAAAGACTTATAAAGTATCATCGTGGAACGATCCAACAGACTTTCTGGAACAAGTCGCGCAAAGAACTGGCAAGCTTCTTAAGGCGAGAAACATTTTTTACACTGACATCGAAGATAAGCTATAACTATATGGCTTTTGCGCTGAAAATCAGATCGAAAATTTCAGGTTTGAGACTTCAGTAGGGTCATTGTGTTGTGTTCTTGGGCAAGACATTGTGCTCTTATAATGCCTCTCTCCGTCGAGGAGTACAAATGGATACCCTGCTGGGGAAACCTGACAAAATAACCTATCATGAATAAGCTTGGTATCTTGAGGAAGAAGCAATACTACTAGTCGCTGAATATCACATAAAGGCAATTTTCTGCCGCTGTGAAATTCAGACTGGTATGCAGACGTTGCCCCTTGCTACACGAGAGAGATTTCTCTTCTCATTTCTTTGTTTCTTTCTTTCTTCATTTCCCATCTCATTTATTTGCCTTTGGTCGGTCAATTTTCCTTTCCTTTCTCCTCAGGGCGGCGAAGCTGACGTCAATACAGTGGCCAAAATGATTTTGAATGATTTCCAACGAGGCAAGCTGCCATACTTTGTTGCACCACCGAGCAAGGTAGGGTAAGAGATTTTTCGTGTCTGTTCGGCTTTTGAGTAGGTATTTGCTGTACCAATGTCGAAGGCACGGCGTGAAAAAATTCTTGTTGCATTCTAAAGTAACTGGGTTCGTTCATTAAAAACTTAAAATCGTCGATTTTGAGATTTTAATCGCCATTTTCTCCGTCGTTCCAGCTGTCTCTATACAATGGTGGACAGGTTAAACGAAAAAAATGCATATATATGTCAGGCTAATTTAATTTTAAAGTAAATATTTGCCCCCCCCCTCCCCCCCTGCGAAGTCCAGTGGTAACACAGGGCTTTATCTCAGCTAGAATGCGTATAAAAAACAAAGACTGTGAACATTCTGTCTTCTGCCTTAACACGCTATTGTAGCTTTTAGCTTGTTAAAGATCCCTCGTTCATTGTTTCCTTTTGACAGGAAGGAGAATCTAATTCTGAAGAAACAAAGGATGAAAAGAAAGCAGCGTCCAAATTTCCGCCTCTTTAAGAAAGTTTTGTGAAAGGAGTAGACTCTGAGGTTAATGACGAGAAATTAGATGTAGCCGAGAAGGAAACTAGAACAGAAAACGCTAAGCAAGGAAACGAAAGAAGTGTTCAAAACGGTAGCCGTTTAGTCGGCAAAGAACCTAACTCCCCAACGGACTCGGAGCCAGAGGCTCAAACAGCTCTAGAGACAAATGATACAAGTAAAACTCAGGAAAAGTGTTCGTCAGAGACCGCAAGAATGAAGCCTGGAGAGAATAAAACGATTAACGACGACTGTGTTCAGAAGTCAAAGAATGTAAACTTACATGTGAAACAGGATTTCAGTGCCATTAATGTTGGACTTGAATATACTGGTGAAGATGTGCAGCCTTTGGAAGAAATAATTAAAGGTGACGAAGGTAAAGAAACTGATGGAAACACTGATTCTGAGGATGACAGTGATGAGGAAGGGGAAGAAGAAGGAGAGGATGAAATGAGGGATGATGAACAACAAGATGACATTAGAGCAGCGTACGGGAAGTACGAGTAAGTATTCACCAATGATGGGGAATACGTCGATGGGGGTATTACAAGATAATTTGGTTTTGTCGACTGGGTTTAGGATGCAAATTGGCCACCAAAAAGAGTTTTCTGACGTTTAAAGTGCTAGCCCCTCATCGTTCGGTCTGAAGAAAGGCTAACGCTCAGAGCGTGAGCTTTGGGGATGGCAATCACTTTGAAACTCAGCTGTGTAAACGTAAGCGTCTCAAGACTGTGATTATGCTTTGTTGTCTCTTGGATTTGGGAGTGTACCTATGGTTGTTTACGCTTTGCTTCTAAATCGAATTCGCTATCGAACCGACAGATGAAAAACGACAACTTTGATTGACCAATTCTTCACTCTTTTCTGTTGTCTTTTTTTAAGAGAAGAGGAGTTAGGAAGCGAAGAGGATGATGACACGGAAGAAGAGCAAGAGGACGAACAAGAACAAGAAAAAGATCAAATTCAACAACCACTTGAGATTGATGAGAGTGCAAACCAGGACGAGTGTAGCGAGGATAGTGACAATGACAGAGTAGAAAGTGACGATGAATCGTCAGATAGTAAAGAAGAAACAAAAGAAAAACCTGGTCCTTTGAAAGAGTCATTAATCAAGATAGATAGGGAGACTGAAAAAAAGAAGCAAAAACTGCTCGAAAAATACAAAAAGTTACAAGGTAAGTCTGTATGACAAGTTAATAGTGAGGTTTGATTTGCAGATGGTCAAAAAATCGTGTGGACAATCGGTTTTGCCGAAAGTGGTGTTATCTACGAGGGCACAGGAGATAAACTAGGGATCAGATTATTTGTTCGCTTATATTATAATTCGAAAAGAATATTTTGAGGTCAACGAGAAATAGAGTTAGCGACAGAGATATAGTGAGCAACGCCTAGAAGGTAAAGTGTTTGTAAATTATCAACTAGAGCTTGATAAACCTCAGTTCCTCTGCTGGAAAGTCACACCTTTATGCTTGGATAAAGAACTAAGTTTTTTTTTTTTTTTTAAATACTTTGTTCTGTTTGCCAGGAGTTGAAAAACTACCTTCTCACCGAGCACAGGAGTGGACTACACCCACTGAACAGCGATTTTCTGTTAGCGTGAGCCCCTACATCGCTTGCGTTGAAGCGGAAGGAAGTGAAAAAGGCACTAGCAAAGAACTTGACAAGGAACTGAATGTAAATAACACTCCACGAGCTCGTCCGGACAGATTAATGAAAGCAGCAAGAGAAACAAAAGGCGTCAGAAAGAATATGAAAATAGGTAATCAAATAAAGAAATCAAACGGTGCATGTCCAAAGTTATCGAAAAGGCCAATCAGAGCGAAGGATTGAACAAAAGGAGCCAATGAGAATCGATATAAGAATAAGTGTACGGCCTGAAGCGCGGGAAAACTTGAGAGAAACGGACACAACAAGTTTTGACTTTGCATCTGATTGCTTGAGACGGTGGCGTGGGTTCTCTAGAACACACAAAGGGCACAGTAAAGCAAAACCAATGTACACCCAAACTATTTTCGACCCTCACTTGAACAGGGATCTTGAAACTTCGTGTGTATTCCGTTTCAACGGTATGCTTATCGTCAGTAGTAACCCTCCCAGCTGTGACAGTAGCCTTACGTACGGAGCAAGCCTCTCAAGATCTACACATCAGTAAAAATCCTTTTCCCGTAACTTTCTAACATGAAGTTTCTATTCATGCTATTAAACTGGAAGAGTCTGCATCTTTGTAATACGAACACGCAGCTGAACCCGCACAAGAAACACGCTCGGAGAAATCCGAGTGAAATTTGCGTCCGTTGATGCCAAACGGGTGCTAGCACTGTACTTCTCTTCGTTATTTTCTCGCTGTCGTATTCTTATTTATTTCCTACGTCTTCAACAGATTCTAGAGGCACTGATAGAAGACGCGGGAAACGCAAAAGTGACGACGACAGCGAAGATGATGACTCGCCCAAACCAAAGGTAAAATAGAAATTGTTTTTTTTTTCCCTGTTGGACGAGTTATTTCGAAGACGTTGGGCGATCGTAAATTTTCAGCTTGTTCGTTGAATAAAGGGAAGTTAGAGTGACTTTACCGAGCGCCTTTAAGGATAATGTAACTAGGCAGTGTCATAGTTAACGGAAGATCCTCACTTTGTGCTGTAATTGAGTCTTTAATGCGCTGACTCTAAGACTGTAAGAGTGACTGGCTTCCAATTTCTCCTTGCTGTATTACCCTTGAATCAAATGTAAAGGTCATGAGAATAAAGAAAATGATCACCAGTTCAAGTATTTCCTGATTATCAAGCAAATTCTCTCTGTCAGTGTCAAAGGAAATGTAAAGAGAACAGTGTGGAGATTATGAATGCTGATCAGTTATTAACTCTGTACTGATGGTAAGGGTGTGGAGGGTTAACAACCTTTGTTCTTTGGTTTCCGTTCAGGCACCGCGTCTGAAGACGAACAAACAGAAGATTGGTGTCCGTTACTACGAGAAGGTTAATGTTAAAAACAAGAACCGTGACAAGAATACGAAACATCGGGAGGAACAAACAAGAAAGAAAGGAAAGAAAAGAAAATGACCTGATTAACTCTGAAGACAATTGAATACAATGTAGTGGCGTGGTTGCCAAGGATCGGAATAGTAATAAAAAAAGATTACCTTTCAAAGTCTGGCAAAGTGTAGGGAAGTTATAGAAATGTGAATGTAAAGTCGAGGAAAGTTAAAAATAAAAGTAATTCGCACATCCATTTATCCCTGTTGCTGACTTTTTGTTGAAGCCGTTGGTACAAGTATTTGGATTTCTGAAGAATGTATTGATGCATGGAAAAACGTCTACAAGGGAAGGCTGGATGGGCCAGGACGTTTATGCTGTATGGTACACTTAGAGCCTTTTAGGTGAGGAAATTTTGTATCGCATGAAACTTAGGAAAGATGGAAATCAATAGTCGTGAATGAAAATGCAAAGTGAATTCCAGCCTGCTTGCAGGCTTAAGTTCGTATTTTCAAGCGCGAGATACAGCGTGGCGAATATTTGGTCGCCCCATTGAACGGGTGGAAGATTTGGGACGAGTGTCAGAGCGAGGAGGAGGGGGGAAGGGAAGAAACCCTCCCTCTCGATTTGTTACTTATCCCTAATCTTTTACCCGTCCAATATGGCGACTGAATATTCGCCGCGCGGAATCTCGGGCATAAAAACACAAACTTCCGCCTGCAAGCAGGCTATGTGAGTTCGTGATGTTATTTCAATTTTGAGACCGCTACCGTATCAAAAATGTCTTCCAGCTAATTGGTTTCGATACCTTTTCTCCTTAACCCGGTTCCCCTTGTCAATGAAAACTTTATCTTATAAACTAGTAAGAATTTTGTAACTGTGGATAGTGGACAGGATTTTTAACCTGCTGCATAACTATCAATTAGAATATGAGCTCGAGATTTCAATGGCGTGATAGTTGATGGGGATTAAGTCCGAACCAACAATTACGGCATAGAAATTAAATTGTTTAAGTATAAAATAACCAGTCTTCGAGCCATAACTACAAGACAGGCTCTTTTTAAAGTTCACAAAGCAACCAGGTGGACAATCAGACATTGTTTTTTATGCTACCCTGGTTTAAAGATTTAATGAATGTAACTGGGGAGTTGCAATTCGTCGACCTAACTTACGTTTCGACACTCCTGTCTAGTGCCTTCATCAAGGGTGATCTAATTGTTGCAACAAGAGGTCCCTTTATATGCTCACTTTTATAAGTTGCCCTTTTTTCTGAGGTTGTGCAAATTGGCGTCAGGTTGTAAGCCGCCATCATCACGCTTTAACCCTCTAACCCCCCCCCCCAAGGGTGACTAGCATCTAATTTCTCCTTACAATATCACCCCTGAATCACACATTAAGGTCATGAGAATTAAGGAAATCACCACCATCTAAAGAAGCTCTCGATTGTTAATCAAATTCTCCTCGTCAGTACCTCAGGAAATGTATAGAGAACATTACAGAGAATATGCACACTGATGTTAGTGTGAAAAGGGTTAAAGGCTCGTGTTTTTATCCTGTTTTATTGTCAGGCCACTCGCTAGCAATTAGGGAGTAGAGGGCGAGTGGTGCAACCAATCAGAATTCAGTATTTGTGATGAAACGCTTGGAGATAATATACCGATTCCTCAGCACTAACCTGACAGTGTGCAGTTTCAAAACATTAGCCTCTCGCTTTAAGACTGGTAGATTCAAACTGAAACGTTCAAATATTTATTCCTCTCTAAATTTGGAAGACACAAGCTATTGCTGTTTAGTAGGAGTTGTGTGACAAAACTTCAACGTTTATTTGGCTGTTTAGAGTCAGGTTCCGTATCAGGTTGTTCCGTACAACAAAGTGTTTAGTTTCACTTCCACACACATTTTTTTTTTTTCAAAATGGTAGGACGGTAGAGCCTCGACTTTTTTTTTTCTTTATTTGGTGGTGGGGATAATGTCTTTCTTTTAGAGTTTGTGTCCAGTGGAAGCTGTTAAAGCCATGCCTTGGCACGAGATGTTAAGTGTAAGAATGGTCACCCTTACAGCTGTTGTTTTTATATTGTTTACGTCACGCAATGCTTGTTTCGGATCCACTTAAATAGTCATTACATTTTGTTTACTCGTGATTCGCCGGTAAACATCATTGGTTCAACACAAGTGCTTAAAGGGTTTCCTTATTTATCTTTCACTTTTGAGCGATTGAGGAGAATATTTAAAAGTTAATCTGCGGAAGAAGGCTCAGAGAATCAAAATGGATCTGTGGGATGAAACGACGAATGTACTGATCAATTCCTCACGGATCGATCTTCGACGTGACTCGATAGATTCAGTGAATCGACAGAACTTTAAAGTGTACAAGAAGAGATGGTATATACTTTTCTTGTTTTTTCTGTGTTCTGCGCTGAATGGTGCAAAATGGAACACGTGGAGCCCAATTCAAGGTACCTCGCAAGTTGTCTTCGGCTGGAGCAGTACGACCATCACTTTACTAGTTGCATGGGGTCCGATCGTCTTCATCGTTATGTTTTTACCATTGTCGTGGCTCATGGATGTGAAAGGTAGAAAAAAATTTGTGTTTTATTATGCTCTACGCTTCAATTTATAATCAAAACCGACACCCCAATAAGACTGCCATCTCTTTGACTACGCGTGATTATTACCTAATTACTGTCAGCTGTTAACCAGCCATTGCGCTCTTAACTTATAGTCTTTAGATGAGAATCTTTTCGGGCGGACTACAATGACACTTACGAATCACGAACTACCATTTGTGAAGTCCTCTTCTTATATATCAGAAACCTCTCAAAATGAAACTGACAACGCTGAAAGTAGCAAAAAAAAAAACCTATTTCGTCGGGAGGCAAATTTCAATTACATAATATAATAAGTAACGCAACTCTGTCTTCAAAATTAGATGTTGGTAGCTCGTAACGCCTGAAGAAGTTCATAAACATAATTCTGCTCATCTAAATTAATGTTGTATTTTGTTCAGGTTTGTAGCTATCCTTTGGCAAAAGACTTCAGCAGTCTTAAATCTGATATTTTGGCACCTAGGATCGAGGCCCAGGTTTAGCTTTATCAGATAACTACTGGGTCCAATTCTATAAAGGGCCTAGTGTCATGTTGACTCGACTACCCACAAGGCGGACATCTTTTCTTAGACAACATATGGGTTTGGTATTGGGGTGTTCGTGCTAGAGAGAGTTGACTGTTTACATTATTTGAGGATGCTATTTGGCATAATTTATAGTCAGTTGCTTTAATAATAAAAGAAGCTAAATCAGATGGCAAGACAAGTCACATGGGCTTCACATGACCAGTCACAAACATGTAACATATCTGTAATTAGAATAAGAAGCAGGTTACGAAACATTTCCCATCTTTGTTATTCTACTCACACATGCCATGTGCATGTCATGTGCATGTCAGATGCATGTCACTTATGACCCAGCTCTGAAGTCTCTGTGGCTCAATGACAGAGTGTCAGTGGATAGGATCCAAAGTCAGAGGTTGGATACCTCTTTCAAAATTTTTTTCCTTTGTTCTACATTCATCAAAGACAATAAAGACATCTTTGTTTATGTATCATACCTTTTCAAACTTTTTTTCCTCACTTGTGCATTTGATTTTGTGTATAAAATTATTTTTGTCTTGGTTATTCCCAAGCCTAGAAGATTTCATTCTCAGCTTGAATGCGGGGCTGTTTACAAGGAATCTTCAATTGTCATTCTCTAAGCTTTTCAGGACCCTTTTTGCACCCTATCTCACATTCTTGATGATACTTGGCCCTTATCCTGATTAATGGTATTGTGATCAAGGGCAAGTTTTGCTAAAATCTTTATGTTGAAAAAATACACTAAAATACTCGTTATTGCCCCTGACCTTCAGGTCTGAGAGCATCAACCCTCCTCTTGGCACTTGTTAACGTCACAGGAGCAGCATGTCAAGCTATTCCACTGGATAATCTGGAAATTCAGACATGGTTAACCCACACTGGGGTTGTCTTAAACAGCATTGGAGGACCAATTGCTATGGCATCAGGTCCCATCATATCTGCTGCCTGGTTTCCTCCGTACCAGCGCATAACGTCAACTGCATTAGCATCCCTAGCTCCCTATATTGGCTCTGGGCTTTCTTTTATCATTGGGCCCCTGTTAGTTCCAGACATAGGGAATCAAAGCAGCAAAATTGGTAAAAGCATTGACTATATCAAACTTCGAAACAACATGACTCATGAACAGATCATGTATCTCAAGGGGAAAATCATGCAACTGATGTATATTGAACTGGGGGCAGCAGCATTGACTTTGCTTCTAATTGTGGTGTATTTTCCAAGCAAACCAAAACTGCCCCCCAGCTTTACAGCAGCAGTCAATCGTCTGGATTTTAAAGATGGTTTCAGACAACTAATGCAAAATAAACAGTTTTGGCTTTTGCTGTTTGTAAATGGGGCAACTATTGGTGTTTATGTTGGCTGGGTGTCTATATTAGACTTGAATCTATCACAGTTTGGTATTGGAGAAAAATCTGCTGGCTGGCTAGGATTTGGTGCTTCAATGGCTGGAATAGCTTCAGGAATTTCTTTGTCCATGTGAGTGAGTATGTTATTATAACAATAACATTCTCTGTACCAATAATAAAAATAAGAACAATAATAATAAGAGTAATTATAAGAGTAATGAAAATAATGCTGTTCACATTGTAAAATAGAGATTTGCTTTTCTCTAGCTCTGACTCAATTAATGTAATATATCCATTTGACAGTGAAACCATGTCTCAAATAACCTTCTTAGTAAGTCTTATTATACAGCTAAACAGGTCTTAAAATTATGAAGAAACATCAAAAACTTTCAAAACCTCTGTAAATAAGTTCAAGTGACCAAAGTTATGTTTTATAGAAGGATATGAAATGACATAATTAATGAGCAATTTTAGAATGAGCCAAAACTTACACTGAGCCTAAAGACTTCCAATTGACAAGGCAGTCATGTGGAGATAGCTGGTTAAAAACTAAAATAATATCCTTTTTTTCCCACAGCCTTGCAGACCATGTATCCAGGCACATGAAAGTGATACAGTTTGTCCTCTTGTTTGGTTGTGCAGTATCATTTGCAATATTTACATTAATATGTGCAAGAATCATCCCTTACAACAAGATTTTACTTTATGCAACCTTTATTATTGGTGGATTCTTTGCAAATGGCACTGTGCCCTTGTTTTTTGAGATGGCAGTGGAGACTGCATACCCTGTTGCTGAAGGAATCTCATCTGGCTTCTTAACAGTGTCTTGCAATCTTCTCCAGTTAATATTTTACATATTTCCCTTGCTGTCCAATTTTGGATTAAGGTGGATTAATTGGTGCACATTTGTGACTTATAGTGTTTGTATTCCATTGCTTGCTCTGTGGAGAGAGAGATACTATCGATCTGATGTAGATGATCAAGGCAAAAAAGAGGAAAATGATTCTCACTAAAACTAGATCAAGAGTAGTTCCTCCTTTTTGGTACAAATAAAAAAAAATAAGTTAAAAAAATATGATCATGTTAAAAGGCAGCTTGGAGCTCTGGGAGTAAGGCAATGTATGTTATTATCATTTTTTGTTTTGTTCACTGATTTTTTTGAGTAGAGCAATGGACCTCACCAAAAAGGAGGGACTGCTCATAGTTTAAACAAAGACAGTATTTTGCAATTAGCTAGTGTCATCAAACAGAAAGGTGGTGGCTGGTCACTTCTGATTCTAGCTTTTATTTTAATTGTAGAGGCAGGGGTGTTTTTTATAGATAACTTATTGTTCGAAAACTATCTATTTCTTGATTAGCTCATGGGCAAAAAGGACAAAGTAGGAAAATGGCACAAAATGCTTACATAATACAAACATAAAAGGTTAAACAATAATATTTTCGATGGCAAAGGTTACACTGATCCTGCATTTCAGAGCTACTAACAATTTTCTTGATAGGGCTGGTTAAGGTTGGTAAACCACTGTATAAAAGTTAAGCTGGAATAGGTACAGACAGGAAATTCATAAAAATTTACAATCATTTTTAAATGTCTTTGTATAGAAGATTGTACTTAGGAACATTTTGGGGATCTATGGGGCTGTTCACAATCAGTTTTCCTCTTAAAGCTCCTCTCAAGATCACCTCTACCAGGTCTATAAAATCCTGCTTGGTTTTGAAGCTGCCAATAAACTTGGTGTGGTCTGGAGTTCTAGAGAAATATAAAATAACAGGGTGACTAATCTTTTGTCTTGTGTGTTGTTGGAAAAAAAATTTAAAAAACAAAGAATTGTGAGAACAATGTCCCAGGGGACTTATATTGTCCAGACAATACAGCCCTTTGAAGCTGAAGCCCTCAGTAGGTCTAAGGGCACACCTTATGTTCCAAAAAATCTTTTTGAAATAGAGGCTTCTTTTTTCTCATTTCCTGCTTTTTAAGATCAGGGTATGTGCAATAAATGGATGTAAACCTTGCACAAATTCAAGGCAACAAGTGCATTACCACACCCAAAAAACCATGGCCTCGCATTAAAATGCCCTAAAGTAACAAAAGGCAAGAGATGCCAAATAGAAATTAGAATGGATTCCATTGAAAAAACTAATGAAGCTGAGAAGATCTTATCTTTAGAAGGAAGCTTGTAATACCTAACAATCACATTATTACCAGTATTCAAACACTGGCATTTTCTGTCACAACAATGCAAGCCATTGGTAACGTGAAAAGACTTGAATGAAATGAGGTGCTTCTTGAGAGAAACAAGACCTGTTTCAAGAGAATTTGGTTATATCAACTAAGTTGAAATTGTAAATTGGCCACCATAAAGAATTAAAAAGCTGACATTTCAAGCATTAGCCCTTCGTCAGAGCGAATGACGAAGGGCTAATCTCGTTACCCCCACTCACGCAGCACCACAGTTGCTTTAGAAACTTACCCCCTGTTTCAAGGGAAACGAGATGCCTTTCAAGAGAAACAAGATGTGTCTCTCCAGACAGTTGTAACTTACTTTTGAACAGTGCTGTATTGAGGGAACACAGATGGCTAGAAATGACCGCCTAAAATGGAAGGTTTCCTTCTAAAATATGTGGAATGGACTCTAAGTCTATGAATAACTGAGCCTTCAAAGCTCCCAGTTTTAAACTTGTTTATATCAGATTTACAGTCCACTGTAAGTGACATTTGAGTAACAAAAGATCATTTTACAGAAACACACTCTTATTTAATCACTTGTCCCAGTACATCAAATCATGTCTTATCATCATGTTACCACCTTCTTCTTTCCTGTTTAAAATTAAGTATAATAAGTCTCTTGAAATGGATATCATTCTCGAGCCTCCAACTTACCCATAATCAACTTTCATATGTTGGCCATTGAAGAAAAACACAGTTGCTGGAATCAGAGAGATGTCAAAGTATCTTGTGTAGACTGGCACTGTATCTACATCCACAATGTATATGTCAGCCATACGAGACAAATCATGAGAGGTCTTGGCCAGCTATTGTGTCAAGGTACAATGATTTGTCATTTTAATTATTCATAATTTTAAGTTAACATACACAAGATCTCATTCAATCAACTGTTTTGATCACCTACAACTCCCTCAAGTTTAAGCCATTGAAATCACCCAACAGAATACTTAACCAACTCTTTCAGAATGAAACATGGTATTCCTGGAAATACTCAGAATACACAGCATCCACATGTTGAGGGAAGACAACATGGCAGCCTTTTTCTTATTATCTCTGGCTGTCAAATGAACTGTCACAGCCACAACTCTGCCAAATTTACCCTTATGAATTCTTCTACTTATTTACATCTAGCAGATCAAACAAGTATTTATGATATCTCACCCCTTTGTTCAGTTGCCTTAAGAAAAACATTTATCTTAAAAGATAGCAACAACCATACGTACACTGTGACAGCATCCACTCTCAGAACCGTAATAGCGGTTTAGAACTGGCCGATCACAACTGGCCGATCACAACTGGCCAGCACTACTTCAGATTTACAACCAACAAAATTATTGCTACACTGGCCATTGATTCTAGTATTACTAATGACCTCCTCGGCTTACAATTAGAATGACTTCAACCCTAGGATTGAAATATCAGTCACTGTTACTGAAAGGAGTCCTTTGAGGACTCTACCATAACAGTCTATGGTTCTTTGTTGTAGTTGTTACCCTTTTGTCAATCATTTGATATATTTCCATACATTGTATTTTTTTTACCACAGAATACGAAATGTAAAGATGGAGGTCAATGAAAAATTCAAGGATACTCAGATAGGCTCATTACGTCCTTACGATATCATCCAGTTGTTGACAAACTCCATCAGTCTCTCTTCCAAACCTCATCACCAGGACTTTGTCTTCGCATGTCTTGATTGCATTGTCGACGTCCTTCTTTTTATTCAAACTTTTGAGGACATAACTCATGGTGGACGGAGAAGAAACGATGAGTTACGTTGTGTAAGCGAAAATGTATTGTCCTCACGGTCGAACAATTAGGACTGGATCAAGACAACATAGAACGCCTGTTGATAATGAACTTATGTATGCTCAGTGCGTCGCTGAAATTGTAATAATATTAAGAAAATTTTGTGTCCTCTTGCTGTTACTCTCCAAACGAATGTTGCAGTAATGATCGTAACCATTCAGGCGGCTTTCTGTGTTGTTAAAGAATTGCTTCAGTCGCTGCTTTCTTATTGCCACGAAAGTTATCATTCAGAAGATACCTGCAAAAGTAATGTTGATGCAATCGAAATTCCTAAAGAGAATTGTAAGTTAAATCTTGTAATCTATTCAATTAATTGAAACGAACATGGTTTTACGATTTTTGAAATATAAATAGGTATGAACTTCGAATTCGTTTTCTCGTCACGAGGGTACACGACACTGAATCTAATCATAAACTTAACTGATCTCCTGCACACGTGACTAGCAGATCAGAGTGAGACTCCTCCGGCGTGTTCATGTCCTCGTTCCTTATAAATTCAAATCAAATGACAATTCATTTGGAGTGCAACTAATTTGCTGTTCTTACATACCCCATGCACAATTGAACAAATTTGTCTATTTTGGACACTTGCAATATATA